TGAGTGAAGTTCCCGCTGTGGATGACTACCAATTGGAAGAACCTGCTACTAAAGAACAGGCTCTTTCAGGTGTGACATTCCCAGTTATAGCTATCCTAATGCTTAACATTAAGGAGAGAATCACCCATCTGAGCCTTGGAAGGGACTGCTCAGGGCACAGCCTCCTGACTTCAAGAAGGTTAAGGCACCTCCATTTTATAAACGACAAATAATTAATAAACAAATAATAAATAAATATTGAAGCCCTTTAACGGGAATTGAAGACGGGAATGATAACAAGTGCTTCATGTACAATCTCAGTGTTCACAATAACTTTAATGGTGGAACTAGTTTTGTCTCCATTTTAGAACTGGGGGCTGGGCGTGGTGGTGCACACCTGTAATCCCAGCCCTCAAGAGGCTGAGGCAGGAGGATTACCTTGAGTTCGGGGTCAGTCTAGGCTACACAGTGAGTTCAAGGCCAGCCTGAATTACACAGGGAGACCCCGTCTCGAAAGAAAGAAAGGAAGGAAGGAAGGAAGGAAGGAAGGAAGGAAGGAAGAAAGAAAGAAAGAAAGAAACAAAGAAAGAAACAAAGAAAGAAACAAAGAAAGAAAGAAACCTAAAAGGTTGAATAACATGTACAAAACCACTCAGTTAATTGATGGAAGAGCTAAGGACTTGAACTAAAGTCCCTGTGACTCCAGTGGTGCTCTGTCTGCACTGCCTCTCTAAAGCACCTGAGGCCCTGGGCCCAGTAACTGTGTGACTCACAGAGCTGGTAAGTGATGGCGTGGGGGAGGGGTGACTACAGGCACAGAGAGTCTTTGGCCTTCCCATGCAGTGACTCCTCCTCCAGTGTGGGTGGTGATCATTTTGTGGGTCATGACACAAATTTAATGGGTCAGGAACTACATTCAAAAGACAGAAAGGGAGGGGTAGAAGAGAACAGAAAACAAAGGAAGAGAAAAAGGGAGGAAGAGAGTAAAGATAAAAGAAAAGAATACACTATTTTGCATCATATGTAGTTAGAATAGTGTTATTTTATGAAACTTTTGTTCCATTATATATTGCATGCTGGATTGAAAAAAAGTCTTTCTTACTGTGAATTGTAATATAAAAAGGTGATTAAGTTTCATTCAAACTCAACAGTCACCAGGAAAATAAAAATTAAAGTAGTAAGATACCACATTTTGAGAAAAAGAAGTAGAAACAACCTGAAAGACTCTTAACAGACAAATGGTTGAATAAACTATTGTATATTCTCAGTAAACCTATTAAAGAATGGCTCAGGTCTATACACAACTAAGCTAGAGGAATTTCCTATGAGTAAGCAGCAAAAGCACACAGCAGATAAATGCATGTGGTGTGATCACATTTTGCAAAATAAATGATGAAATTTCCAGCAGAGGTGAAAAAGGTGGACTAAGTGGAATGAGAGAGAAGTAAAAGGAAATGGGAGAGAGAAGGAAAAGACCAACAAAGGCTATTGCTAACCAGGAAAAAGAAGCTATCCGCATCACTTCGGGTGTTATGGGAAACAGAGGTCATATGCAAACAGTAACCAGCAGTTTAAAAGTGACTAGAGCTGTCCCTCAGTATGTATCTGAAGGGGACTGTTTACAGAACACCCCCCCATGGATACCAAATCCCTGCATGCTCAAGCCCCTTATAGAAAGTGGTAAAGTATTTGGATATGACCTATACCAGTGATGGCGAACCTGTGAGAGCTTTCAAATGATAACAAACAGCCTGCTGCAGAACGTGTGCCACAGGTTCACCGCCACTGGCCTATACACATCCTCCCATACACTTTATTCATTTATTTTTATTTGGGGGGGGGGTGGTACCGGGAATCGAACTCAGGACCCCATGCTTGCCAGTCAGGCACTGCGCCACGGAGCTAAATGCCCGGCCCATACACTTTAAATCATCTCTACATGACTTGTAATAGTGAATACAAGGTAAATACTATATAAATAGTTGTTATACAGTATTGTTTAGAGAAAAATGACAGGTCTGCACAGGTTCGGCAAAAACACAATTTTTTCACTTGAATATCCTTTATCTGTGGTTGGTTGAATCCACGGATACAGAACCTATGGATACAAACAGCTGACTTTATTTAAAAAATTGTAGAAAGTGTTTGGGAAAACCAGTAAGGGGAATCCTCAGGTCCCTAGAGATTAAAAGAGCAAGGCGCCATTAAGCCCACCCAGGTCTCCCACGCGTGTGAGGTCAGGCACCAGAAATGGAAGTAGGCAGGTACTGTGTATGGGTAGGCCCACCAGACAGGCTATGTGGGCCTTTGGAGGTGGAGGGTGTGGCTGGCAGGGAGGGAAACAATTTCATTCTTCTCCCACCCTCCAGTTTCCTGCTGGCAGATCTCCCTGAGCAACTGAAAAGTCAAGGGCTCAGAGGACCAGGGAAACAGCTCATAAAGATCAGGCACAAGCCAGACCAGGGAAGGCTCAGAACAAGGTGGAGAGAGCTAGAGACAGTCTTGATGGGGCAAATGAATGATAGCCACAACAGAAAATTTGAATGGTAAATGAAAAGGTAGAGTAACAACCCACCTATCATTTCTTTCTTTTGCATATATAAAAGTAAAATATTTACAGCCAGGCACAGTGGTGCATACCTATAATCCTGGTACTGTGGGAGGCTAAGGCAAGTTCCAGGCCAGCCCAGGCAACTTAGCAAGGCCCTGTCGCCAAATAAAAAAAGCTCTGGGGGTACAGCTCAGCATGCAGACCCTGAGTTCAATCCCTATTACTGAGGAAGGAAGAGAGGCAGGAAGGGAGGAAGGGAGGGAGGGAGCGAGGGAAAGATCAGATGGGTAAGAATTAAAAAGCTACTAGGACAAATGAGAGTATAGAATTGATTTGACTTAGTAAATCCACTATCCTCAACAATAATCACATTTTTAAAAGTTGTTTGTGCTTTTATCCTCCTCCTCCCTCCCCTCTCTTCCTCTCTCCTTCTCCTGTTATTTGTTTGTTTGTTTATCTACTGCAGACAGAACCCAGAGCCTGATGAATGGCAAGCATACACTCTACCACTGAGCTATATCCCCAGCCACCATTTCTCTTTTTTATTCTTTGCAATAGAGCTGATCTGAATTAAAATTCTGACTCTACCATACATTTGCTGTTTCCCTAACTTCCTTATCTCTAAGATGGGAATGAAAAAAAGTACCTGCCTTACAGAGTTCCGATGAGGATTAAATGAACTAAGAGCTTTTGAGATCTTAGACCAGGTGTTGGCACCTAGTAAATGCAGTGTTTGCTGTTCTATGGTGGCAGTGTGACATCAACATCCTCCCTTGAGTATGCCGACAAACCATACCCCCAAGAAGCTCACAGTACATCAGCCTGTCTCGAACCCCTTTCTCCAGTCCACCCACCACCATGCAAGAGTAAGCTCGCTAACCCTGTTGCTCTCTTCCATCAAATGTGTCAGTGATATGTGTTTAAGACTTTTTAAGAACAGGGCTGGGGATGTAGCTCAGTGGCAGGGCACTTTTCCAGCATGTGCAAGGCCCTGGTTTGATTCCCCAGCACTAAAGAAAAAAAACATTTAAGGAGATGAAAATGCTATCAGTACCGAGTTGACCGTGATACACTGTATACATATTTCAAATTAGGACACTGTACACTCTAAGTGTGTACAATTAAAATAGTAATTTTAAATGAAAATAAGTATCAGCGATCTCTAGACCTTCCAGGACAACAGTCCCCAGTGCCTTGCCCTGGCGGGGAGCTCCAGCCTCACAGCCCTCCATTTCTCCAGATGTGCCCTCCCTCCAGTAAAGCTGTGCTGCGCCACGCCTCCGAGAGCCCGGTCAGAAATGCCTTTTCCACATCACTGCCCTCATCACTGAAATGTCAAGCTTCACCTCTCCGAGAATACTTCCCGTCTTTCATCCTGATGTACATTCCTGTCCTTATTCCGTGCAGGTTGTGTCACACCACACTGTAATAATCCCGAGTGCTCTGACTGCCCAGCAGTTGGTCTCTCAAGGGCAGCAATGAGGATCTTTATCTCTGGACCCCAGTACAGAGCAAAGAAGCTGCTGAGGGCAGATATTCAAACCTGATTTGTCTACGAATTAAATCTATAAATAAACAAGGTCAGTTAAACTGAATAATTCAAACTCACTGCGCTCTGTTTTGACTCTAAGACACCACTGTCCCCAACCATCTGGAAGTTCTACGTCTGTCCTTGACACTCTGGAGTAGCTGCATGCCTGAGGAAACCCCCAGGGGCACTAGACCGGCTCAGGCCAGAAGGAATTGGTCAGCAGAGACCAGGAGGAATAAATGCATCCTTTCTGGGAGCATCAACTACATGATATTTGCTTTATCAAGGGACTTTCCCAAGAAAATCAATTTCTGCAGCATGGTAAAATACAAACAAACCACCACCCACCCACCCACTCCTTAAAGACAATTGGTCCAAAGAGAACGAAGAGAATTCAGACAATTCCACAGGGTTGAGAACACCATCTGATCACATGAACTCTGTTTTCCCTAACCAAGCATTTTTCTACTGAATTTTTATTTTACATTTGGCTCCACGTGAAACATACATCCCATAACCCACTGTTGCACCCTCCACAAACCTGTGCACACAGCCACAGATACACTGGAGGTTCACGGCACAGGCACCCTGGGAGATTGGCTCTTGGTGGCTTATGATGATGTTACCAGAATCCCTTGATAACAATGTTTTTATCCATTTATAACTATAACTATTATCCTATTTTCTATATAATTGGATGTGACTGAGGTTTAAAAAAAAAAATCAGCTGCATAAGAAAAGTCATGCTCTTACAGAGCAGATGTTTGCCAAGCATGGAAAGTGAATTAGCCTTGAACACAAACACCCACGAACACATAAGCACTCTTTCCAAAAGCACTGACGCTGATACTTTACATTGCAAAATAATTTAAAGATACAGGATACTGAAATGCAAGAGAGGTAGCGAGAGCTCATTTTTAAAATAGGTGTTAATTTTACCTCTTTAAGGTAATCTGGGGCTTGCAGTTCCGACATTGGATTAATTCTCCAGTTGAGGATATGGAAAAGTGACTTATAATTTATTTGTCCTTCACTGTCTTCAAACCTAAAAATATATAATTTGATTCAATTTGCAAAATTCAGAACCATGAAAACATATTATCAGGTGCTCTTCAATATCTGATTTTTTTCTTAGCTCTTATTACCTATTATCTACTTCTCTTTGTTTGTTTTGTTTTGTTTTGTTTTGTTTTTCTCCGGTACCAGGAACCAAACTCACGACCTTGCGCTTACCAGGCAGGCGCTTTGCCGCTGAGCTAAATCCCCAGCCCCTTATTATCTACTTCTGACCCTTCAGAATATAAATTTTTTGAGAGCAGATTTTTCAGCTAATTTACCTAAGTATTCCCAGAACCTAAATCATGTAGTAGATATTCAATAAATGTGTTGTAGCTGCCAAAGAAACAAACTTTATACTTAGCAACTAAGAATATCACTATATTTTAAGAATATTTGAATGTCTTTTTAGTTTAGTGATTGATATTATGAGTAAAATAAAACTTCTTTACATTTTTAAAGCATATACTGTACCTGTTAAATCTTTCAGACAAGCCTAGATTAGTTTTGTCTACTAATATATTTTTAGAAGTAATAAAAGGCATCTTTATCATTTATTAAATGGCCATAAAGGAGGTTATTTAGATCGAGATTTGCTGTCATATACGTATGTTCTTGATATATTGACTGAAAAAGTTATAAAATAGTATGTATACTTATGATCCTACTTTAAGTTTATATTTATATAAAAAGGCACAGAAAAAAAGTAACAATACACTTACATACTAAGGTATATAAGTAAAAATACACTTATATACTAACAACAAATATTTCCGGAAAAATTTATGATCTGGGCCTTTTCTTTGTAATTTTATACAGCATACTGATTATCTTATATTTTTAATCAGAAAAAACAAGACCATTTTCCTTTTGAAAGAAATTAACATATGATTATCTTGAGCCATAAAAATACAGGTCAAAAATAACATATTTCTTAGACCACTATTTCTGGCTTACATTCATCATAAAGCATAATAGTGTTTTGGTCATCAAGACACAATAATTTCAGCTAGGCATGGTAGCTCACACCTGTAATCCCAGCAATCTGCAAGGCCAAGGCAAGAAGATGGCAAATTTGAGTCCAGCTGTGCAACTTAGTGACCTGGCAAGCTTTTGACTTGAAACAAAACTCTGAAAAAGAGCCGGGGACCCATAGCTCACTGTGAAGGACACGGGTTCAATCCTCAGCATTGCAAACAAACAAACCCATAATAATTTCAACACAATTGCTATAATAACCTAAGTACTGCCTAAATACTTCTTACTGAAATACTAAGGATATAATTGGACCACATTCTGCCAATTGATAAGGCTAAATAAATATCTCTTGACCTTGTAGCACCATTTTTTTTGAAGCATCAGTAAGGGTAGTTTGTCACTAACTTTGTGTTCCAACCACCCTTCTCTAGGCTCCTGCCCATAAACGCTTTGTCTTTCTTTGCAAAGTGTTAAGAAAAGAGTAGTCCATATTTATAAACTAATAAAAATTAGCAACGACATGAAATATTCCAAAGTGAAGTCACATAGACTCACCCATCTAAACAAAGCAGAACAAACAGAATAACCAGAAGAGGGGAAAGGGAACTCAGTAATTCTTGTGTGTACATTTTCTTTGGCCAAGGATTCCGGCTACAGCTCCAACATGCTGCCCCCTACCACTGTTTATCCTCTGAATTTTGGCTCACTTATCATTTCAGTGCCTTTAAAGGACATGCTCTCTTTATGGAAATATTTGTAGCCAAGATGCAGGACTATTATTTTATTTATGTATGTTTGAGGAAGAACTACAACTCAATCAACAAAAGATGTTTTATGAGAACCTTTCCATTAGCGAGGAGCCTTGAAGAAAGCCCTTATAATATATCTGAGTAGGACGTGAAGTCAGAAGGAGATCATGTAGAGTCTGACTTTTATTCTAAGGAAACTGAGAGCCACTATACCCTATTGTACCAAGAAATGCACAGCCCTGCAGTGTTTAGAATGATTATGCCGATTCATACACTAAAACCTAATCACCAGTGTGATGCTATTAGGGGAGAGGTGTTTATATCACTAAGACAGACTCCTCATGAATGACATTAGTCCTCTTATAAAAGAGACCCCTGAGAGCTCCCTTGCCTCTCCTGCCATGGGGACACGACAGAAGGAGTCACCTAAGCACCGGACACTGAATATGTCAGCACCTTGATCTTGGCCTTAGCTTCTAAAAATGTAAAAAGTAGTTTTCTGTTGTTTACAAGCCACCAGTTTGTGTCTTCGGTGGCAGCAACCTGAGTGGACTAAAATAGAATGAAATGTATTTTTAAAAAGATGACTCCAACCGATGCACTGAAAGTGGTGGCAGTGAGGTATGGCCCATTTTGAAGGGTTTACAACTGTAGGATTCCAGAAGGAGTGTATACAGTGTATAAGAAACGGAAGGAAGATTCAAGATGGTGTAAAGGTTTCTGTTTTATTTAGCAACTGAAAACATGGAGCTGCCCCAACTGAGACGAGAAAAACTACAGGGGCTCCAGGTTACAAGGTCAGATCCTGAGTGCATTTAAGGGGATGTTATATTTTGATGGGAAGCGAGCAGTTGAGAATGTGAGTTTGATGTTCAAGGAAAAGGTCGACTTGAAGACTTAAGTGTAGGCCTCATTAGCTATCTAGATAACATTTAAAGGCACAAGACTGGGAAATTAGATGAGATCATCAATGAAATAATTATCTCTACCTTTCCATACAGTATGGAATTGGCTGGTAAATTCCCACAACATGAATGACAGGAAACACTTATTTAATCCTAGAGTTTAGAAGGGTAGTATTTCAGTAATTTGGGGACGAGTCATTAGACTACTAAATAGATGCAGGATCGTATCAAACTTCACTGCTCATATACAACCTACTAACACCCCAGTGGGCTGTACAACCACAGCATATTACAAATCTGCCTATCTCTGTGCATCTCTCTTACTACTCCCTCATCCCAAACCACTCTCATCTCTCACCTGGATTATAGCAATAGGTTCCCATCTTGGTCTTGCTACTTCCATCTATTCTCATGTTGCAGCAGACCATCCTCTTTCTAATACAGGTCTACTCAATTCCTTGAACGCTTTAATTTATAACTTTGGATTCTTTTTTGAGTATCATTTGACTCAGAAATATCCTTCCTCCAAATTCTCCTAAATGGTTAGATGTATGGAGTCTCGCATGACTTTCCTGCCTCACTTCCTTGCTTGAATCCTCCAATGGCTTCCCAATCTACTTAGAGCACCAGCTACACTCCGCGGAAGGTCTTATAAAAGCCAACCTGACTTGGCTCCCGCTAACCTCTCTGATTGTATGTCCTCACTGAAAACGCTCCCTGTCACAGTGTTCCAAATATACTGGCCTTCTTGAGCTTCCCTGATCATGCCAAGGTTATTCTCAGACATGCAAGGCGTCTGCACCTTCTAGTCACTTTACCGGCAAAGTCTCAATTCAAATGCCACTTCCTTAGGAAGGTCTTTCTGAAGTTCCCCTTATCTGAGTCACTCTGTATGAATTTGCATTTATCCTAGCTGATGGCACTGGAATTCACAGAAAAATCCCTATGAGTCACTACAGGAAGTTCTGGTAGACTGTGTTACCACTAACTCTGACACTTGCTCATGTTTACTTGGTTTTTCCCAAATGCCCAGCCCTCTTTCATGCCCAGTGATGACATGCGAGACTCCATACATCTAACCATTTAGGAGAATTTGGAGGAAGGATATTTCTGAGTCAAATGATACTCAAAAAAGAATCCAAAGTTATAAATTAAAGCGTACACAGCTGAAAATGATATACAAATTTTTTGTCTGAAAAGAAATGAAAGATTTCATCTTTCCAAAATTCGAGAGCCAGGCTTAAACTTAGCTAACGTGTTAAAAATACTCCGAGCTTCTCTCTTCATTTGTGTCTTTGAGGACCTCAATGTATGGGAGACTTCCCTGTACCCCCACCAAGGAGCACAGAGGAAAAAACAAACAAAGAATCTTTCAATTACAATGGCTACACAGGGTATGGTGGCACATGCCTCTAATCCTGGCACTCAGGAGGCTGAGGCAGGAAGACTGCCATGAGTTTGAGGTCAGCCTGGGCTACATAGTGAGTTCAAGACCCTGTCTCAAAAAAAAAAAGAAAAAAGATAAAACCAGCTGATACTTCTTGGAAGAATTCTTTCATTTGGTAAGTGGACATAGTTGCAATAAATCATGATGTATTGATCATAAATATTTCTTACTCCTTTCCATAAAATCCTATTTTCATCTACCAAAGAATAAAACTGAAATAACAAGGGAAAAAACACAATGACAAAGATAGCTAGACAAAAGACAACATTAGAAAAGAGATTTCAAAATTTTTCCCAGATGAAGAGCAGATCAAGGACTGGTAACGAACTTGGCAGAGCTGAGGAAAGGAAGCTGAGGCCTAACCACCCACAGGAGAATGGTAGGCACTGAAAGACAGTGTCAGTGCGGCCCACGAAACTCCTAAGAGACTCAGCAACTACAGATTCCAGGTACCAACAAAGATAGGGTAAGGCACTGGAACAAGGACTACTTGAAAGCCCTAGTAACCCGTCTTTTTCTACTGTGCTTCTCCTGTAGGGAACGGAGGCTTGCTCTCCACAGAAATTCAACCAAACAAGCTCCAGTCGTGGGATGGTGAAGCATAATGGAAGCAGAGGGGAGGAATACACACAGACTCTCAGGCTCTCCGCATCCTTTCCTCCCCTTTCTGGTTTGCAGAGTACCAGTGGCCACTCTGAAGCCTCCTCTCTTCTCCCATCCTACCGTCCCTCTACACTACCAGAAGATAAGACTCCTCTCAATGCTTCAATGTTTCGAGAGAAATGTCCAGCTTCCCTCATAAAGACAAAGCCTTAGGAGCTGACTGGGGCGTAAAACGTACCCATGAACAGGACCCTTGCCCTGCCCCTCCCAGAGCATCCAGCATTAAGGTCACAAGTCAAACAACAAC